CCTCACTGTGCTTAGCCACATAAAGCCGAAGGAGATCACTTACCCCACCCTTCGACCTGGGCACAGCAGAAACTGGCTTAGCCTCTTCCTCCATCAGGCTTCGCCGGTATGCAGCCAGTCCTCACTCCTTCCGACAGCGTCTCTCCTCGTGTCGGGCAGAAGTAACCTCAGCGGCACAGCCGGAAATGACACTGCAGTTATACCGAGGCAGTATGAAAACGAGGCTTGAGACGCAAGCGCTCGTTTTGTCTAGGAAGCTAAAATAAAGTTATACTCACCCAAACCACGACCCTGGCTTGCTCTTAGACTGGGCCCTTCAGCCTATCTCTACCTCCACTCCTGTGATGGTATGTTCCTTGGTGTCCTCACATTTTATATAGGAATGCACTGATACCGTTTTTTCAGTATCAAGTACCGATATTTTGCTTTTGGTACTCGCCGATACCGAGTACCGATACTGGTGCTTCTGCTGGCATGGAGCCGGCTTCCCAGGGCAATCAGGAAGCCGGGCGGCATGTAATGACATGCTGCCCAGCTTTCTGATTGCCCGGGAAGCCGGCTTCATATTGTATGGACAGCTCAATTGTGATTGGCCAATCAGGAAACCGGGCAGCAAGTAATGACACACCTCCTGGTCTCCTCATTGGCCGGGAAGATGGCTCCATGCCAATTGGCTGGAACACTGCAAGGAGCCGGCTTTTCGGGCCAATCAGGAACTCGGGAGGAGGGTCATTACTTGCCACCCAACTTCCTGACTGACCAGGAAGCCGGCTTCATGTTCCCCTACAGCACAAACATTTTCCTCTGACTGGACGTTCCAGTATTGGGCAAGGTATCGGAGCATTTGGGCAAGTACGAGTACTCACCCAAATACTTGGTATCAGCACCGAGTATCGGTGCATCCCTAGTTGTATACGCTGTATAGAATGCGATGACTCACAAGACATTAGGCCACTGGAAGCGAGGCTGAAGGGACCGGTCTAAGGAGGAGCAAACCGGGACCGTGGTTTGGGTGAGAACAACTTTATTTTAACTTCCTAGACAAAACGAGCACGGGGGGGGGATGATATAAATACATGCTATTAGGATGGACATACATAAGTAAATGCCTATTGTAGAACATGTTAGTTTTACATC